TAAAGATTTCAAAACAAATATCGACCATATTTATAAGATTGGACTTTTGAAATTAAAATAAAATCGTTGTCGAATGGAAGCGAAAGTAAATTGGTTTTAATTTGAAGGTGAATTAGAGGAGGATTCTGTGGGTGTGGTAGGAGCAATTGAAGATATGATGTCGGAGGGAGCTGTCCAAAACATGCATCCGAATTTGGAACAAATTGATTTTTATTTTATTTTATTTTTATATGCTAATATTTAACCAAAACACTTTGCACATTAAATTTATTTATTTATTTATTTATTTTATAATTTAACCTAAAATTTTACTCTCATATCCTTTATAAACCTATTTCATTTAATATTATACCGTAATTAAAAAAATACTTTTTTTAAAATTAACCAATTATTCAATTATTTATAATCAAATAATACAATTTTCATTGGTATGAGACCTTTTGTAGAAGTACAAACTAAAGTCATGAGAGCTTATGCTCAAAGTAAACAATATCATACTATTACGGAGAGTCGTGTTCTTAACATGGTATTAGAGTCATGTCCCTAAACTTAGTCATGCCAATAGAATCCTTAAATGTCGAACAAAAAACTCCAAAAGAAAAGGAGTTGAGTCAGGAGGCGTACAAAGTCATGAGAGCTTATGCTCAAAGTGGACAATATCATATCATTGTAGAGAGACGTGTTCATCTAACAATTTAAACTCAACTTAATTCAAATGAGTTCATAATTCAACTCAAACTCTATAGATTGGATTGAGTTGGGTTTATCAGATTTTCGGATCGTCGAGATTTTTAAACATCAATATCTATTAATTTAATAAAAAAAATTGGAGAGAAATTCAAGAAAAAAAAAAAAAAAAAAACATGAGGGGAAGTGAATCGAAATAGGGCTCAAATCAATGTTTTGTCGATGTGTCCTTGTCCCATATAATTTCCAAACCTTCCATGTGAATTGGAACCTGCCTTTTAGTTTCATTAAGCATAAGAATCTTTATTATCTTCCTCGGCTTTTGATTTGAAAGCCTAATGTACTTCATTTATGTTCCTTTTTTTTTATTATTATTTATTAATGTCGAGAGGATAAGCTCGCGATCTTGTCATGTTCTGTCCATATATATTTCATACGCGTAATCAATATAACATGACTTTTTTTTACGTCAATTTCATTAAAATTTAACAGATCTCACAATGAAATTGATATAAGATCTCACAATCTGATCAAACCTCAAATTTAGTCGGGCCCAAACTTCGACTGACCTAACCAATTGCTACCAAATCTACTTGTAGGGTCGAAGGAAATTTTTAAAAAAAATCATTAAAATATAGATATTTAGTTTAACTTTCAATTTAACCCCTAAATTCTAATTTATAACAACAATTTAATCCTTTTGGTAAAATTTCTCTTCAAATATAGATTTTTATGACGTAATAATATGGATAATATTTTAAAACTAAATCTTTGAATTCAGCGTTGACCATTGGCATGGAGCATTTTTGGGCCGAACTAGAGTAGTTGAAAATCCCATAAGCCCACCAATTAAATAATGGGCTTAATACTTCAGAGCCACGGTGTCCCGCAGATTTATCGGACCAACACAGATAATATTAAATATATATTTTATCCTAAGTTTTTTATGGATCATTTTACACATGACTTAATTGGGAATCATATGATTCACATTATTTGTACAATTGTACTTAGCCATGGTTTAAATCAAAATTCATATCATTATTCGACATTTGAGTATGCCTTCGAGAAGGCTCGACTATACCTTTTTGACCATGCCTTCGAATTCTTTTGGAGTTGTTTGTTCGACATTTAAGGATTTACCAATCTATTGGCCCGACTAAGTTTTATATAGGTATGACTCTGAGACCATGTTAAGTTGAATGACACTGTTCTATATGGGACACGGCCTCGTGTATTTATAGATGTGTATAATGAAGATTGCATTGTAACAAACTGTGAAATCATAGATTTGGTATCAAACCAGGAAATCATAGATTCTCGTTGATTTAGAGTATCAAATTGCATAGATATTTAATATTAATATGTATAAAATAATATATTATTTGAATTGATGGAGAAAAAGGAAAAAGGAAAAAGGAAAAAGGAAAACCCAATGCTTTTTTGTGCCCCATATTTCACTCCCATCGTTTTCTTATCAATCTTTTCTATTTAAAGCTGAAATAATACATTTGCATTTTAATCATGAGTATGGTCCCTATGATTTATTTTATTTTGCTTTTGTTTTACCCTTCCTTGCAATTTCTTATTTTATCAATATTAATAATTAATTAATTCAAAATAAATAGTACAACTACGCCAAGGCGTGGAGTCACAGAATAGTGGAGGTTGACTTTTTAGTCAACTTCCAACTCTATTAATCCTAAAATTATGATTATATTATCGGATAATTAATGCTAATTAATGCTAATTATATTAATTAGGGTTATCTCTCCCAAGCACTTAGGCCATTCAAAAGGAAAGGCTGCCTTAAAATTGCTACTAACAAAATCTTGCACTCCCTTTAAAGAAGATTTGGATTGATCATCAAAGGAAAGAAGATGGATTTCTTTCCAATTTATTCATTATTAAAAGAATAAATGTTCTTCGTTAAAACGTTGTATATGATTTTACCGCCGTTAAATATGATAAAGAGACGGAGTGGATAAATCTGAATATTATATATTTTTTTAATGAGAAAAAATTATGTAAATTTGAACTTAGGATAAATTATATTATTATATAGGTAGCATAGGTACAAAAAAGATGATTGATTATATAATGAAGTTAATAAAAATGTGGGTGATGGGTCATGGAATTTGGAAAATAAAGTTTTGATTATATTTATATATATATTTTTTTTATTTTCTTTTTGTCAAATCTTTTATATTGCAAGTAACAAAATATCAACATAATAATGTTATTAAATCATAATAACATCTTTTGCCTAAGATTTAGAATCCAGGGCACGTTATCTAGATTTGACACTTGATGGTCTTGAACTGTATTAGGAGTGAAGACTATCCCCATAAATCAACACGGGTTTTTAATAACATGCTTTTTGGAAAAATTTATATGATATCAAAGGATCGAACTCTTGTTGAAGCAATAATCCTTGAATCAAGAAAATTAACACTTATTTTATACAAAATATTGGATCAACCAACAGACAAGGTTAGAGTTATATTAGATGGAAGATCTAGAATCAAGATTTGAAACCTATGGAACTTCAAGACTTATTGAATGACCCAGATGCAATTCTATCACAAATTTTTAAAGAAAACGTCTTAATTATATATATATATATATAAATAAAAAAAAAATAAAGTTAGTGATATTATTGCAAATAGAGGCAGGTTTATGAGAAACTTTTACTTTTGATCCCCATAGTCTTATCCAATTATCTTTGGAAAAGTGAAATCTTAAAAAGTAGGTTGCCTTCAAAATCTTTTTGTGCCGTATACTTCCAAAAATTAAGATGGACCAAGGGAATGGTACGTACTTGCATAATTTTAATTTTCAAAACAAAATATTTGAATTATTCCTTATTTTCTTTTCCATATTATATTTATATTCTAAAAGCTTTTATTAATTTAATTTACAATTTAATGTAACCAAAAATATAATATTTATTATAAAACCCAAATTTATTTCAGGTATTTTAAAAATAAAAAAAAAAAGGTCAAACATGTGTGTGGTTAGCCCAGAAAGATCATTTGGTTAAGAAATCAAGAAATTTGTACAATAAGAAAAGCACCTTTTTCCATAATTATTTAAATATTAAAAATATGAATCTTGGATTTTTGTGAGCCACGGTAAAAATAAATAAATAATTACTGTATTACCAGCTGGGGCCAAGGTTATTAATGGCTGTGGGGTTGAGATTTATTATTTTCTTGAAAGAAATATATTTTATTTTATTTTATTTATAAAAAAAAAAAAAAAAAAAAAAAAAAAAAAAAAAAAAAAATT